ATTCCTTAGAGAAGATGTTTGGGATGCTCTCTGTCTTAAATTTGTTGAGATTTGTTTTGCTACCTAACATGATATATTTTTGGAGAATGGTCCATGTGCTTTTGAAAAGACTATTGTTGGGTTGAATGTTTTGTATATGGCTGTTAGATCCATTTGGTCTATAATGTTCAAGTATGTTGTTTTTTGAAATAAAAAAATGAGATCTAGCTCTCCTTCCTCAGTTATTATACCCATTATTGAAAATGGGGTATTTAAGTCTCCTTCTCTTATTATTTAATAGTATTCTTCTCCCTTCATGTCAGTCAGTGCTTGATTCATTTAGTCTGGTGCTCATATCTCTAAAGTTGTGTACATATATTTGTAATTGTTATGCCTTCCTAGTGGATCAACATTTTTTCACATTATAACATCCTTTTTTGTTGCTTGTATCAGGTTTTGTTGTTTTGCTATTCTTGCTGTTTGGGGTTCTAGGTCTCAAAACCAGGACCTCACACATGCTAGGAAAAAGGCTCTACCATTAATCTACATCCTTAACCCTGTTGTGACAGTTTTTGATTTTTATTTTGTCTCAAAAAAATTAAATATAAAAAGGGCTGGGGATGTGGTTCAATGGGTAAGCAACAGTGTATTCAATTCCTGGTACAAAAAAAAAAAAAGTTAATTTTGTCTGAAAGAAATATATACACTCCTGGTGGTTTTTTGTTGTTTTGTTTGTTTTGGGGTTTCTTTTGGTTGTCATTTGGATGAAATATCTTTATATCTCCTTAATATCAGTATACATAGGGAAAGATTTACTTTAATTATTTTGTTAGTTGTTTTTTTCTACTTTGTACTTCTTTTGTTGATCCTTTCATATCTTGCTGTCATTTTCTGTTTCATTGTTTTGCTTTTGTTACTTTATTAGTATGCTTTCATTCCTTTTATGTTTTTCTTCTTTTGCAAACTTTCAGGGTTTTGTTGTTGTTATTTTATATTGTTTTGGTTCTTTTTTATGTATGCAGGACAGTATAATTCATTTTGACATAATTATAAAGCATGGAATACATCTTGTTCTAATTCAGTCCCCAGTACCTTTCCTTCCCCTTCCCTCCACACTCGAGCCCACTCTGTTCCCTTTAGTGTTCTTTCTGCCACTTACCCATAGTTATTTTTTTAAATTAGCTTCTTGTGGATATACATGATGGTGAAAATTCACTGTAATGTATTCATATATGTACATAGGAAATTATGTCAGATTCATTTCAGTGTATTTCCTTTTCCCATTCCCCCTCCCTTTACTTCATTTCCTTTTGTCTACTCCACTGAACTTCTATTCTTTTCCCATTTATTGAGGATTAGCTTCTATATATCAGAGGAAACATTTGACCTTTGGTTTTGGGGGGATTAGCTTATTTCACTTAGCATGATAGGCTCTGTACATCCATCCATTTACCAACAAATGCCATAAAGTCATTCTTCTTTATGGCAGAGTAATACTCCATTGTGTATATATTCCACATTTTCTTTATCTATTCTTCTGTTAAAGGACACTTAGGTTGGATCCAGAGCTTAGCTATTGTGAATTGGGCTTCTGTAAACAATGATATGGCTTCGTCACTGTAGTATGCTGATTTTAAGTCTTTTGGATGTATACCTAGAACTGGGATAACTGGTTCAAATGATCGTCCCATTTCTAATTTTGGAGGAATCTCCATACTGCTCTCCAGAGTGGTTGCAAATTTGCAATCCCAGGAACAATTTATGAGTATACCCTTTTCCCACATCTTCATCAACATTTTTGTTACTTATATTCTTGATAATTGACATTCTGACTGGAATGAGATTAAAATCTCACTGTTTGGGTGTTAAGTTTTTTGAGTTCTTTGTATATCCTGGATATTTATGCCCTATCTGAAGTACAGGTGGTAAAGATTTTTCTCCCATTTTATAGGTTCTCTCCTCACATTTTTGATTGTTTCCTGTGCTGTGAATATATTTAATTTGGTACCATCCCATTTATTGATTCTTGATTTTACTTTTTGTACTTTGGGAGTCTTCTTAAGGAAGTCAGACCCTGAGCTGATATATTGGAGCATTGGGCCTACATTTTCTTCTAGCAGATGCAGGGTTTCTGGTCTAATTTCTAGTCTTTGATCCATTTTGAGTTGAGTTTTTTTGGAGGGTTAGAGATAGGAGTTAAATTTTATTCTACTACATATGGATTTCCAGTTTTCCCAGCACCATTTGATGAAGTGACTATCTTTTCTCCAATGTGTGTTTTTGTCACCCTTGTCAAGTATACTACCAAAATGCTTCATAGATTCAGTGCAAGTCCCAATGACATTCTTCATAGAAATAGAAAAGGCAATCATGAAATTCATTTGGAAAAATAAGAAGCCCAGAATAGCCAAGACAATCCTTAGCGGGGGAAGCAAAGTAGGAGGCATTATAATATCAGACCTTAAATTATACTACAGAGGTATAGTGACAAAAACAGCATGGTATTGGCACCAAAACAGGCATGAATACCAATAGAATAGAACAGAAAACACAGGGACAAACTCACATATATACAATTATCTCATAGGTATTTTCTTTGTGGTAACCATTGAGTTTACATAAAATATGTGTCTATTTTAAGCAAATAACAACTTCAACATTCTATAGTTTTCTTCCACTCTTATATTATTGGTATCCAAATTTATATGTAAATTGTGTCTATTAATTGTTTATACTTATTTTAATATTTATTCTTTTAATTTATACTAGAATTAAATGCAATTTACTTACCAACAGGAAGATAATATAGTATTCTATATTTGTCTAAATATTTACCTTTGCTAAGTTTTATGCCTTCTTATTCTTTTTCACTTCAGCTTAAAGAAGGAAGGTCTATGGTAATAACTCCCTCAGCTTGTTTTTGTTTATATTTTTTAGTTGTAGTTGGACATAATACCTTTATTTTATTTATTTTTATGTGGTGCTGAGGACCGAGCCCTCCCTCAGCTTTTATTTGTCTGTGAAAGGTACTTCCTTTCTCTCTTTTTTCCCATTTTTTGATTATTTTGTTTTGTTTTATTTCTGGCTCTGGGGATTGAACCCAGGGGCATTCTATCACTAAGCTACATCCCTCTTCCTTTTTATTTTTTATTTTTCAAGAGGGTCTTGCTAAGTTGAACAGGCTGGTGTCAACCTTGCAATTCTCTTGCTTCAGCCTCCTGAGTCACTGAGATTACAGGCATGTGCCACCTCACCTGTCCATTTTTCTTTCTTTCAGTTTTGGAAGAGAGTTTTGTCCCAATAGCATTCTTGGTTGACAGTTTTTATTTTTTTCCTTTCAGCACTTTTAATATATAATCCCACTCTCTTCTCACCTGCTAAGTTTTGCTAAAAACATCTTATGGATGTTTCTCTTTCATGAGATATGTCATTTTTTTCTCTTGCTACTTTCAAAATCCCTCTTTGCTTTTGACTTTTGACAATTTGATTACCATATGTCTAGTGTGGACTTTTTTTCATTTTTAATGTTTTTATTAGTACACTATAGTTATACATAATTTTAGGGTTCATTTTGTCATATTGATAAATGCATATAACCTAATTTGATGGATTTCTTTGGGTTCATCTTATTTGGGTTCTTTGGGCTTCTAAGATGTTTAATTTGGGAAGTTTAAGCCATTATTTCTTTGAATATATGGTCTGTCTTCTCCTAAAACTTCCATAATGCATATATTGGTTCACTTCATGATATTCCATAGGTTCCTTAACCTGTCTTCCCTCTTTATTAAAAAATATTTTTAGTTGCCAATGGATTTTTGACTTTATTTGTTTATTTATATATAATGCTGAGGATTGAACCCAGGGCCTAACACAAGTGCCAGGCAAGTGCTCTACAACTGAGCCACAACCCCAGTCCCTGTCTTCCCTCTTTTTTGTTTCATTTTTTTTCTTTTTTTTTTTCTCCTGACTGGATAATCTCAAATAGTCTGTCTTTGAGTTTGATGATTCTTTCTTTTGCTTCTTCCATTCTGTTGTTGAACTTCTGTATTGAATTGTTCATTTCAACTATTCTTCAGCTTTAAGACTTCTGCTTTTTTGAATTATTCTCTTTGTTGAAAAGTGAGCTTTGTTCTTGGATTGTTCCCTAGATCCTATGACCCTTTCTATAATTATTATTTTAAATTTTCTTTTGTATAATTAATATATTTTCACTTCATTAGAGTCAGTCTCTGGAGTTTTAGCTATTTCCTTTGTTTGGATTTTTGCCTTTTTCTTTATTTTCCTTGAATATCTTCATATCCTCACATTAGGGGAAAAATCCCTACTTCTTCAATTTGTGTATAGACCTTCATCAGTCAATGAGGCCAGAACTTCTGTGTACCTCTTAAATCTTTGTGGTGGTCTAAACGATTGTTTTTGTTTTAGTGGCCGGCCCCCAGATATCTAGAGTATAGTCAGTTTCATCAGTGCCCCTAGATACATTTTCATACAGATGCCATTCCTTTAGTAGCTCTTGGAGAAGTTGGAATGCTGATTGTATAATCTATCTCTTTTCCTCCCCTCAGAGAAGCTAGAAGCCAGGATTTTAAACAATTCCCATTTTCTTGAGCTTTTAATCCCAGGGCAGGATCCTTGGTGCATACCTGCATGGTAGTTCAAGCTGCCACTTTGTTCTCTATCATCTGTGGGATATCATATGCCAGACCCAGTGAGCTCTTTGAAACAGTTGAGAAAAAAATCCAGTCTTTCAGGTTGCTCCTAAAAAAGTTGGAGTATTAGCTATGTACTCCAGTTCCTTCTTTCCTCAGATAGAAGCTGACACTTGGAGTTCTGTCTGTATCCTATAGTACTGTGCTAGGAGTGTGGATTAGTATGTCTTGTCTTTAAGGTCATCAAAATTATATTACTTTTGTATTTTCCCACCTAATATTTTCTTTACAAAATGAAAATGTTGGTAATCAGTTCCTCCAGCTAAACTAACCCACTAACCCACTTTTCTTTTTTATTGTTGTCTATTCAAGGTTCTGGTGTGGGATGTATAACCGCTTTGACAAAGGCCTGCAGCCCAAACAGAGTATGCTAGAGAGCCTCCTGGAAATTAAGAAACAGAGAGCAATGCTTGAAGCAGATGTGTATGAACTAGAAAAGGTGAGGAGAATGGTCCCAAAAAAGAGATTCTCTTGCCCCTTATTAGTAGGTCTAGTCTGTTTGGAGTTGAATTGATACTTATAGAATGCTGCCTGGCTGGCTTATTATACTCTCTGGCTTCTAAGTGTCCTGTGTCTAAAAAGCGCAGGATATAATGCCTTTTGTTTCCATACCATGGTAATTATCTCAATGGGCTAGTTAAACAAGTAGATTGGTTTTCTGTTTGGATCTGGACAGAATGATTAGGTGGAACAAGAAAGAATGACAAGAAATCAGTTTGGGGCACTTTATATACTGTATTTCCTTATATCCTTTAAAGAAACTTGTTAGGTATGGCTTCTGTTTATAGAAGAAATAGAAATTTAGAGAACTTAAGTAACTCAAATTCATATACTTATAAGTTGAAAACCAGGGTCTATCCTGCATCTTCTAACTGGCAAAGTCTTTCACCTGTCTACTACCTCATGCTCTGTCTAAAGGATATTTTCACTTTCAGGGATAGAACATTGATATATTAATATTTTACAACAGTGATTCTTTTGAATCATACACCCCTTTAAAATATGAAGACAATGGCAGATATTTCCCTCAAAAATTTTGGTATATACATGCAATTTTAAGCATAATTTAAGGGGGTCAACAGACTCTGAAAGCCCACCTATGAGTTTATGAACTCCAGTAAGAGCTTTTGCCTTATTGTATAAGAATATCATTTTTATTTTACTGGAACTCATAAAATCACAGTGATTTGTAATAAAAATGGTGATAATCCTTGGAGAGAGGTATTGTATAGTTTCATTTCAACATTTCATTTTATATTTTATTGCCTTTTAAAAACATAGCAACAGAGTTGTCTGAGTGATAATATTAAGCACCATTTTAGTTTTTCTTCTCTGTATTGAAAAAAGAAAGTAACCTAAACACACACACACACACACACACACACTATATATATATATATATATATATATATATATATATATATATAGTGTGTGTGTGTGTGTGTGTGTGTGTGTAGTAACCTTTACAGGAAAACTTCAGAGAGTGATCTGAGCCTACTGGAATGAATCTGAGTCTCTCTCAGGAATCAGAGAAATCAGTCAAGGATAAGTGAGAGGGCTAGATTCAGAAAAGGATACCTGTTCAGGGTGGGTCCTTTTGGAAAAGTCTGTGAATAACTAAAAGGGGAGGAAGAAATCCTAAGAAATTTCCCTACTTCTCAATTCTGTTTAGGGATGCTTGTTTCCTATGATTTTAAATCATGCTTGAGTTTCCCCTTTGTTTTTGATTATTTTTAATGCAACCATGTAGCTGGCTATTGGGTTCCAAGAATGCTTTCAAAAGTTTGGGATCTGATACAATCACAAATACAATTTGATACAATCACATGTGAAAAATGTATTTTCACAATAAAAGGATATTCACTTACTTATATGGAGCAAAAAAATATCCGACTTATCTGGCCTAAATGGGTTCACACCTGGTTCCTAAACAACACACCCTTTCCAAGAATTATTTTCTAAATTGTATCCCTACCCTCTGTCCTTCAAATAAACCCTTAGGGACCCTAGATTTCATAAGCAGCTCAGAATTTTGAATATTTTGAAAAGAGATCATTGTTGATGTGTTTAATGTATAATTAAAAACAAGTGTCCATCTTTGGTTCTTCTGGTATTGTAAAGCCAAATCAACAAACATAATACAGCTATTCAGTGATCAGAATTTGCAGTCTGCATGGGAAGGAAATAAAAAAATCTTCTTTGATAACAATTTTCCTAATTGGAAATATACCAATTTCATTGTTCTTATAAGTATACTCAAGGTATCATAGTTATTCTATTGGTGGATGACAACTGACAAGGTGATTTCCCTGTCACTTATTCCCTTTGTTCCACCTAATCATTTCCTCAAGATCCAGATGCAGGGTCAGACCCCAACTTTCCACTTTCTAAATGAGTGAATTTGAGTGACATGCTTTAACTTCTCTGAGCCTCAGTTTCCTCATTTGTAAAACACAGGTATTATTTAATAAACTAATGATTTTCTTATATAGAAAGGAAATATTTTATGTAAAGTGCCTATTTACATTGAGGCAGGTAACATTAGTGATCTTCTCCTTTGCCTTCCTCAATCCTAGAAATAAATTGAATTTATAATATTTATCAGAAAAGAGAACTTTTATAGAACTTTTTAAAAGCACAATGACAAGTTATGAAGAAAAGATATTTGAGAGGGCAGGTGCAAACAATAATTTTCTACCATAAAAGTGATAGCAGCAAGATCTTTGCTGGTTGATATTTGCCCAGATTTTTGTTTCCTGTTTCTAATTCTTTTCAACCATTCCTTGCTCCTGAAACAGAAACTGAAAGCCCATGATGAGCCACCAGAAGAGGTCTGTACCTGCTCTCAATTAGGGAATTTACTGTGCCAGCATCTAAGAAGTCCTTTGGCCAATCCTCTGGGATTTATGGGTATTGATGGAGACCTAAATACATTGATGGAGAATGGCACTCTGTCCAGGGAAGGAGGCCTCCGAGCTCAGATGGATCAAGCAAAAAGCCAATGTACAGACCTCCGCCATGACTGTTGTGGGATCATAGGTAGCCTTAGGGCCATAAATATTTCTGAGGGTGTGCACATCTCTGGAGACATAGGCACCTCTGCAGCCACAGGTATCTCTGGTGACATGGGCATCTTTGGGACTATGGGCTTCTCTGAAGATGTGGGCATCTCTCAGGTTACTGACATCCCTGGAAAAATGAATATTTCTGAGGCCACGGGATTCTCTGGAGGCATGGGTTTCTCTGATGGCATACGCACCATGGAGGACTTGGGCTTCTCTGAAGACACAGATATCTCAAAGGTCAGCACCAAGGAGTCAGGCTACTCTAAGCAACAGTGATCTAGCTACTCATATGCTTCTCTGCTAGGGGCACCTGTAGCAACCACAGTGATCTTTATTCCATACAGGGCTATGCTGCTTTTCTGGTTGGTTTAAATGTGTGAGACCAGGGTACCCCTTTTCCTACTTAGAGTCTGGAAAAAGACTTAGGGCCTTTACTGATTAAATGATCGCTATACACATGTTGTTAAGCAGTCCAGAATATGAGAAAATATGTTATTGTTATAAAATGGGATTTAACTTTAGAAATATTTCCCTTTAGCTGCTTATTAGGCTGGTTATATTATTTTCCTTAACAATCAGCCTCTCTTTCCACCCTTGCTTCTCTAACCTGAGAGCACAGTAGAAAATTACAATCCAGTTGAAGGGATAGAGAGATGTTATGCAACAGACAACTGAATTACAGAATTTTGTGAAAATGTACTCTCAGATATGCCTAGTCATGGGATGCTAATATTGCCAATAGAGACCCCAACATTTGTGTGATAATAAATCAAAATGATCCTTAATTGTTAGCACAAGTGCATGGGTGCTTGGAGGTTTAAAATATACAAAGAAAGTTTTCTTAAGCTATAACAGTTGCTCTCTCCAGCCCACACCCCAGCTTTGTCTCATTATAATACTCATCTAGCCACTCTGCTATTTTGTAGATATCCTGTAGGTAAATTTGAGTCCATTACAGGCTAAAATGATCAATTACAAATTAACAGGGTCTGAGTTAATAGTGCTTAATAGCATTCTCAGCATCAGTTCAGAAAGCAACTGATAATCTGAGTGCTCTGTCCCTGTCTGAGACATGGTCTGTGTGCTTATCTGGGATTTTTTTTTAAACAGGCCCCTTCTTAGGATTTTTTTTAAGAGAGCGAGAGTGAGAGAGAGAGAGAGAGAATTTTTTAATATTTATTTTTTAGTTTTCAGTGGACACAACATCTTTATTTTTTTAATTTTTATGTGGTGCTGCAGATAGAACCTAGCACCCTGTGCATGCCAGGCGAGCGCACTACCACTTGAGCCACATCCCCAGCCCAGGATTTTTAAAATAAAGACCAGTTGTTTTGCTTATGGAGATGTTACATAAAACTTGTGGATTTTTGGATACAATCAGCACTGTTTTTTAAATCTCATAGGTTTCTCATCTTATATACTTTTTAAAAAGTCTATTCTTAGAGCTGGTTCACATACTCCCATGGGCAAGGGTATATTCTTGTTGTCTAAACACAAGATTTTCCCCTTGGTGTTGGTACATTTGTTGGTTTTTCATCTTCCCTATTGGATATTCAGTCATAGTTTTGCCACTTCCACATGCTGGGGGTGGGTAGGGTAGGCCTTAGGCAATTAAAAAAAATAATTGTCAGTTGGCCATTATTTTATTTATTTTATTTATATGTGGTGCTGAGACTCAAGCCCAGTGCCTCACACATGCTAGGCAAGCACTCTACCACTTGGCCTCAGGTAATTTTAATCATGATCTACATATAGTCATTATTTCCAGAACTACCAAGGCCAATGGAATCCACATCTTTAACCATACTATCTATTCCAAGTACTCTGTATGTGGTTTCAGCTCAAAAATTCAATTTCTGTTGACTATCAAATTAATTTGTGAATACATAAAGTATCTAAAGGATCACATTATTAGGTGCTTTTCTCTGAAAGAAAGAGGTGCCTTTCAATTTAAGTATGTAATTAAATAGCAGAAGACAGTCACCAGAGTAGCTCCTTGATTTCTTACATAGAGCTATTTGATGGACCCAAAACAACTTTCCTTTTCAGAGGAAAAATTCTAAATCATTTTGGTTGTCTTTTTTCATATTTTAAATGAGAATCATTTTTCTATTTACCTCCTCTTGGTAGCTGTTTTAATTCTGTGTATTTAAAGAACTCTGATTTGTGTCTTTCCCATTCATAAATAGGGACCATTTTTCTACTTACCTCTTCTTGATAGTTGCCTTGATCATATAATTTTAAAGCAACAAGATGTATCTTCTCTGATCCCCTTCTTTCTATAATTTGGTCTTTGGCTCATACAACCTAAATTACCAGATGTTGCCTGCTGCCATTTGGCTTCTTACTTCTGGGGGAATTATATTTCTGTACATCAGTTTGATGTGGAAGCTACATGTAACCCTGGTTTTGTGGAGGAATTTGTCAAAAAGGATGACAGTACCAGTCTGTCAACAAGTGAGGCTACTCCAGTCTTGCTTTACACCCAGGGCTTTCTCCCTTATCTCAACCTGTATTTTTAGTGCATTAACTACATGACACACCAGCTATAACTTGTTGAGGTTTTTGAGGGGGCAGAGGAAATGGGAAAATGGCAAGATGTAAATCCTTTGCAAATCCTTTCAAAAGGTATTTTGTGATCTCAAATTTATTTGCAAAGACCTATAAAAGGTACTATTCCCATAATTTATTTGATCCAAAATAAAACTTTCCAATAGTGAAAAGGTTTTTCAATACAACTCTAAACTCAGAATTGATAAATAGCAACTCTAATGTTTCCAAAAGCAAAACCAAAAATTTTACAAAAATTGTCTTATTCCATTGTCTATCTAAGGCCATGGAATCAATTTCAGCCTCAAGATCTGTGAAGTCAATTTGTTTTATCTTTTTGTTGTTGTTTTTATTTCCCAACATGTCTCATTATTACTTGTATATAAGCAAAACCTTGTGAAAATTTTGTATTTTTTCTCATCACCAACTACTTCTCTTGTTTTACAATTGGATTTGAAAATCTGAGAGAAAAATGTTCAGTGGAATCCAAACACTAATTTGCTGGTAAAATCCCAATGGCTATCTCTACTCAGGAGACCAGGAATAAAGTGGAAATTCCTGAAGTAAATTGCCAGGGCTACTAGAAAAGATGATATATTAATGGCTTTCATTTCATATTCTCATATAACACAAGCTGAAAAAGAAATGTGACCCCTTCCCCCACTCTCTTATGCTTCCAGTTCCCCAAGCAGAAATTCCATTCCCATATGACTGCCCTACTTAAATAGGAAGGCATTTAAACCACCTGCCACTGTCTCATCTACTAACCTGACCTCTGTCTCTTTCCCATACAAGTTTTACAGGCCTAAGGTCACTGCTTATCTTTTCCAAGCATGAGTCAGGCTCAGTTCCTATGCTGCTGACCATGCTCAGGTTCTGCATGAACACCCTTTCAAAAACTTCATTAATTCTTTACTTAGTTAATGACATGATATATTTATCACAAAATAAATACAGTAATCCTAAATAACAAACTTAAGTAACAGCTAACAGCTGTTTTAAAGAAGAAATTCAGGAATAGGGTCCAGTGTATGAAAGAAAAACTGAAACTGTCTAGAACTAACAACAAGAATGTAAAATTTATGGTGCGTGTGTATGGCACATGTATCTTTGGAATATCACCTTAGAAATTATGTTTACTTATCACCAAGTCTGTTGCCATTGCCTGCCAATATGCATGGACTGTCTTTTGTTTGCAATGCACCTCACACATCACATGAAGTGAGACCTTTTCTGAACATTTCCATCTAAAGGGATACAAGTCTTTTTAAAAGGTGCTTTTCATAAATATTTAAGCGTGGCCTGGATTTAGCTGAAAGAGATGTTAATAACCTAGGGTACTCATGTCATATCTTTGTTACATACTAGCTTTTTTAAAACACACCACACTTTTCTTAATATTTTTAGGTTTTCATATGTCATTTGAGAATCTTTCTATGAGAGTATTTTATAAAGTGTCCTTTCTTCAAACAGTTATGTAGGAAAATGTAAATTACCCTTAAGAAAATTATTTCCCTCAAAAGGGGTTGACCATGTTCTATATAGGTTTCTTACTTTCTCTCTTAGTTCCCAGTGATTTAATATCCATACCAAAACTTTCCCCCATCCTCATACCTCGTCTTCTCAGAATTCTATGGAGAATATAAGCTGATATTGATTTCAACCAAATCTGGTTGTTTTCTTCTAATTGCCAAATCTAGAAATGACTTTTGATATAAACATTTTAAAAGAAAATAGACATGGCTTAAGCCTTCCTATGGCATTATCTTTTTATATGATGTGAATAAATAGATGGCCTGTCAGAAAACACCAACACATAAAGGACAAGGGGAAAGATTTGGGATCATAAAGGAGTCTTATCCTTTTAAAGGTAATTCTGTTTTTGAAGTACTTGATGGCAACACAGAGGTTTTTCCAAGGGGGAAATACTACTTTCCTAGCCATATAAAAGATATCTTCTCTGATTCTCCAGCTGTGGAACTGAAAGTATATGCCTTCCTCTTAAATAGGAAGTAGTGGTACTGTCACCTATTCATGGTAGTCCACATCTCCTTTAGATGTCAGTGCAAGTAAAAGTGTGTTACATGATATGTGATTTGTGACTTGAATTCACAAAAGACAACTGTGCTTTGAAAGAAGCTAATTTAGCCCTGTGTGTCTTACAGAGGCTGAACAAATCATGTTCAGAAGTTGGCCTATGAAAAACCAGTAGCTCCCATGTTAAGTCTAGCACCCTGTCCCTCAGTGTTTTCTAAAGCTTTGGGAATGAACTAGAAGCTTATTTTTTCCAGTGTTTTTATGCCTTTCAACCATTTTTATGGTTTTATACTCTTTTTAGAGGACCCGACACCAGCCATCACAGAATCCCAGTTAGTGGAGAAGTTTGTTGGGAGAGAAGAGAGGGTCATACAGAAATGCAACTGGCCAGTTAAGATTTCATGTGCTCCTTAAAATATTATTACTTGCAAAAAAGTCCAAAAATGATCTTTTCCAGGAAGTGCTGTGACTGATATATTTTCTTTTAAGGCTATCCTTTCTTTACGCTGATAGAAATTCAAGAATGCTATGAATAGTGATTTCCATCCATAGTTTTCTATGCTGCAGGGTTTTCTTTTCTTTTAGAGAGTCAAGGATGGTGGGTGGCATTTTCTTCCTTAAAATGTGCACAAAGCAGATTATTTTTGAGCATCTTCTTTGCTTCTGGAGCTGCAGTATCTTTGGGCCCCTTATCAATCAGGTAAGAATATGTACACCAAAATCACTAGATGATTACTGTTCAAGGACACATATCTCTAGTCACAAGTCACAGATAATTGGCAGTGTCAGTTCATACATAAAGGATCTGCAAGTGTCCACCTCACTCATATTTACA